TCTCAAAGATCCCAAAAGATACAAGGCGTATTTTGCTGAAGTAATTTGACTGAAGTTCTACAAGCTCGTAATGAGCCGTTCATTACCTTCTCCGAAGAGGACATGATGCTTGGGACTGTAGACCATAACCATCATCTGTATGTTACTGTAGAGAGCGATAAGCTGATCATCAGTCGAATCCTGATCGATCCTGGATCCTCCATAAATCTGATAAGTTTGAAAGCACTGAGATCCCTCTGCCTTGATATGGAACACCTCGGGCCAGATAGGTTGATGGTGCATTGTTTCAATGAAAAAGGTCAGAAAACCCTTGGGTCATTCATGCTCCCTCTTATATTTGGAGAGCTCCATACAGAAGCTAAATTACATGTAATTGACGCGGATACTTCATTCAAGGCGCTACTAGGTCGTCCCTGGTTACATGAAACTGGCATTATACCATCAACATTACACCAGTGTATAAAATATCTTAAAGATGGAGAAGAATTCAGGAACTCTGGTGACATCCAACCCTTTACAGTTCGTGAAGCAATAGTTTATGAAGATACACAGTACTTCATGCCAAAGAAGCAAAAGTTTTCGAGCTCCCTCGAAGCTAAAGCATCAAATTCAAAGGCTACAAAGCGATCTGAACGGGAAGGTGAAAAGAAGTAGTGGGGAGAAAGAAGGCAATGCCGACTCTTCCCAAAGCATCGACCATTCCAAAAGAGAAGAAATTTATACCTCATCTTGGGAGTGATACATATGAAGATGATGTTACTCCTACCAAATCCCGAAAAGTATGCCAGTCCACAGATGAGTAGAATAGGCAGGTTGAATTTTTAAATGATGACTATGACTACGACTCTATTTATATGAACACGGTGCAGAGTGTGTTCTCCAGAAGAATAGACAGCCTATCAATTTCAGATAGTGTACTTGTAGTCACACGTGTTCCCTTGCAACACTTCAAGGAACTCATTCCGCGTGAGGTGCATAAAGTTGAAGAACTCGCTACTCTCTATCTGCCTCCCCTTAAAAATGGGAGTGTGACAAAGAATGTGTTATATTCCACGGGAGTTCGCGAAGAGAAAATTTATGACTGGGATTGCATGATCGTCGATTCCGAAGAGTTATTTCCTACGAGGCTACCCAGGTTCAATACAGAGAATATTCAAAGAATGCTACGAAAATAAATCAATATTCCTACTACCAAACGATAGCTTCGTACAAGTCTGGGCCTCTGGTATGGAAGGAATCCGCGTCCCCTACGGCAGAAGGATACAGACGCATATAAAGTTATCAGTTTCATCAAACGAAAATTTCTCCGGAAAGAGACTTGCCGGGCAATCACATGCATGGAAATTGAATCCGAGGATGATGTTGCTGAAGAGACATACGAGGCTGATGATTAAGATGAGCAGCCTATAGAAGCCGAACCTGCACCATAAGAGCTTGAAGATGGTGGACAGGCAGCTACTTTGGATGAACTGAAAAAAGTCAACTTGGGAACTGAGGAAGATCCTCGCCCAACCTTCATTAGTTCTCTCCTACCCGAAGAACAAATAGAAGAAATAAAATAACTTCTTTGTGAATTAAGAGACTGCTTTGCCTAGACATATGCTGAGATGCTGGCTTATCCCCTGACGTAGCAGTTCACAGATTAGCAATCAAACTGGATGTAACACCCGTCAAATAAGCTCCAAGGAGAATGAGATTGGAGATTGAAGAACAGGTAATTAGAGAGATGAAGAAGTTTATTGATGCAGGCTTTATTCGAGAAGAAAAGTATGCTGATTGGATCGCAAATATTGTCCCTCTAAAGAAGAAGAATGGACAGATTCGTGTATGTATTGACTTTAGGAACC